TTTTAGAATTTCGCGCATTTTTCAAATGATTTATCTCATCTTAATTCTGCATTACCTTTTAAAAAGAGGTGATTTCGGAATTGTCAAACCACTGGAAAACATAAGTAGAAATCTACATCCTAATATATCCTACTTAATTCTTTAACGCTGAAGCAAAAATCACTGCATGCGTGGTGCTGTACCTCTTTTACATCCTTTTACGTTTCTTGCGACCGATATAGATGTGATTTAAGGAAAAGCAAATGAGAAATAGTTACATAATATCTGCACCAAATTTCGACTGCTTCTTGGAAATTATACAGACCAAAACTGAGCTGGAATGCTGTTTGAGTAAATAGTAAAATCTCTAATTTTTTTGTAGCAGATGAAGAATAAAGAAGTGTAGAACAACTTACGTTAATTCTACTGTTAATTTATCAAAAATGAAATATCTCACATGATTAGAGCCAGCCAGCGGAAATATGATTTCTCAAACGGTTTGAAAGCGTGGCGCTTAAAATTTAATTTAGAATTGTCAACAAAATACGTGAAGAATGCGAATATGTGCATATCTCAGGTGTTAATCAAAGCGTTGTGCCGAGCCTTTTTCATAACATTGTTCATTGTATATAATCGCATTTATTGATAACTCCATGGCCAATACTTTTCTCTCAACTCTGAAGAATCACTCTAGTCTCTAAATTATGACTTAAAATGGTTATTCAAATTTTTGGCATTCTTTATAGCGGGCTTAGATAGGAATCTTTGTAGTTGCTCTTTAGACAAAATAAAAACCACTGGAATCAACAAAGTTTATAATCCGATTCTATGAATTAAGGTATAGATGTCATTGTTTCGGAGTGCTTAAAGTCAACTGCTGTCATGCAGCGTGTCAAAAGTCATAACAAAAGCACTTGAGCAGAAGTGACGTCTATGTGGAGTGTTAAACACTTTACAAGAAATTCACAGAGCAGATCTACTGCTGCACAACTCTGCTTCTCATAGTCAAGCTACCCTCGTCCAATCAAATTCATTATGATATGCTGTAAAAAATTCTAAACACACTGCTGTTTGACAGAACTCAATTCGCTCGACAAAATCCTCCGGGTTTTGATTTGTCCCAATCTGAATCAACAAATAATGTCGCTATTTCTGATGCATCTATTGTCTGGATACAAAATAAAAATAACTGGTCGTTATGAATTATTTTGTGTCCATCCTCATCCTATCGGTTATGCTTTTGATTAAACTATCCTTTTTTTACAATTAATCTTTTCCTATGACTCATCTGTTATCAGATTTCCGAATAATACAGATTGCTTGTATGTGGGCTTTATGCGACACATTTCCATAAAGTGGGCTAGCGAAAAAAGCATTGCACTTCGATTGATCGTCATTTTCAATTGTATTCCGTGCCTTAACTTTTTTCATTCAAGTTCACATAGAATTCTCTTTTAAAAAAATAGCCATAAATGGAAGCGCAAAGAGTGTCAGTGAGCTCTACATTAAAAAAAGATTTTACCTAATTCTCCAAAAACTTTTTGTCTCGTGTACTAAATTAACGAGAATCTTTATGATGTGTCTCAAATTTTAAAATCCGTATGATTTTCTATAGAAATAGAAAATAGAAATAGAAAGTGAGGAAATTTTTTAAATTCCTTAATTGATGATGGTGTCGGGGAATTAGCTTGCTGTAATCAAAGACTTTTTGATAATCAATCTTCCTATTAAAAGAAATATTACGATGCAGCAGAGGGAAGTCAGATGAATAGATAACCCAATGTTTGGCCCGTTTTCGGTTTCTTCAAAAGTCATTTCCAGATATTCGAGTAAAAACACTTAGAAAAAGTTTTTGCCTTCATAACTCAATGAGAACTCTTATGGTCCAAATTTTAATCCATCCTGTAAGCAGTTCTTCTCCACACAATAAAATACGTATTGTACATATGGGTTACGTTATCTTTTTACTGTTTTTGCTTTACAACTGTCTTTGGAATGTTTTTACGACGAAGTTGAAAGTATATACAAAAGAGCTATTGCATAAATAGATTTACTACGTCGAGCGGAGCTTCCTTGATATCTGTATGCTAATCTGCGGCAAAAATAATTCGCTTCAGAAAAAGATGAGAATGAAATTCTAGTGAAATATTGTGACTAAAATGTAAGCGATTAGAAAAAAAATAGGAAATCGAATTTGTAAAGCTTAGAATGAGGTATTAAAGGTAATTTAAATGTACTTCGCATTTTTTATTTCCGAGAGATAAAAGTAAAGGAACGTTGAGGATCATATGGCAAAAAGCTGTTCAAATTTGAACCCAATCTAACTTATGACTCCGAGTATACTGTATGCAAGCATCAGTACACCAATGATAATAAATGTTTGTAATAATTTTATTTTTTAGGTAAAAATGTACAGCCGGCGGCTCGCCCTTCCGTTGGTGCGATATCTGGCGGCTTCGAGATTTCTCCCTATTTTTCAAGCCGAAAAAATACTGGCAGTTCGTTGTCTTCACACTACTGCCATTATTAAGGACGTTGACAGCGCAGCCAAGTACATCGGCGCTGGAGCAGCTACGATCGGAGCTGCTGGCTCTGGAGCCGGAATCGGTAGTGTATTCGCTGCTCTTATTTCTGGCTACACAAGAAATCCAGCGTTAAAAATGCAACTGTTCTCTTGCGCCCTTGTAGGATTTGCACTTTCAGAAATTATGGGACTTTTTTGTATTACCATGGCTTTTATGATATTGTTCGCATTTTGAATTACTGCCAATAGGTAAAGACTTACATTTTTTAAAGATTGAAGGATTTATTGTTACTATATCTTGTCATTTGTATTTATAAAAGTTATACACTGCGTAAATCGCAGTGTGCACTAACCATTTGTTCTTTCAAAAGTGCTTGTAAGTTCGAATTGGCTATAGTAAATATTCATCATGAGTATAGTAAAGCCTATACTTCTGTATTCGAAATTCAAAAAACAAAGATATAAATATTAATGAACAGCAGAGTTGATTATGCAGTAAGTGGATGATTTTTTTGCAACAGAGTACATGTAGCCGCATAACCATCGTAACTATAGCTTTTGTGGTATCGAAAAAAATATTTTCTTACGAAAGAAAACCCGCAATTCTACATATGTTGTCGTTCATTCTAATTG